ATTGACCAGTTTTTCTTCTTATGGATTGTGCTTTTGTTGTCAAGTCTAAGAACTCTTTGCCTGCCCTAGATCTTGAAGAGTGTCTCCCATGTTTTTCCCTAGAAAGTTTTATTGTTTTATATTTAAGTTCATGATGCATTTTGAATTAACTTTGGTATAAAGTCTGAGACTTAGGTCAAGGTTCTTTTTTTTGCCTAAAAATGTGCAATTGCTCTGGCACCATTTGTTGCAAAGACTGTTTCCTCCACTGAATTCCTTTTGCACTTTTGTCAAAAATAAGTTGGGCATATTTGCAAAGGTCTATTTCTGGGTTCTCTGTTCTGTTCCATCAATCTATGTGTCTATCCTTCTGCCAATACCACATAGTCTGGATCACTGCAGTTATGTAATGAGTCTTGAACTTGTATAGACTGATTCCTTCCACTTTATTCTTTTCCAAAATTGTTTTATCTATTCTAGTAGCTTTACCTTTTCACATAAGTTTAGAATAATTTTATCTATATCTGTAAAAAATCTTGTGATATTTTGATAGAAATTGCATTGAATCTGTATACGAATTCAGACAGAATCAACATTTTTACTATATTGAGTCTTCCAATCCATGAATACAGTATGTTTCTCCATTTATTTGCTATTCTTCAGTTTCTCTCTTTGGCATTTTGTAATTGTCACTAATCGTGTGACCTTGGACATTAGTCTTTCAGACCTTCAGTTCTCTTTCTGTAAAACGTGTCTGGTAATACCTACCTTGAAATGCCATGGGAAAGTCAAATAAGATAGCACATGAGCAGTACCCCATGGCAAGCACCAAGACGCAGTTCCCTTCAGCTGGGTCTCTCATCTGTTTGTTCTTTCTTCTTCTTCAGCTTTCATTCTGATGCCCACATCCGCTTACACTTCACTTTGTCTTTCCTTATCCTGTGCTTTTTTTTTTATCCTTCTTTCATTCTCAACTCCTTACTCTAATTTTTCTCTCTTCTTTCTTTCTCTTTCTTTCTTTTCTTTTCTTTCTTTTTTTTTTTTTTTTTTTTTTGAGACAGAGTGCCACTCTGTCACCCAGGCTGGAGTACAGTGGTGCAATCTCGGTTCACTGTCAACCTCTGCTGCCTGAGTTCAAGGATTCTCATACCTCAGCATCTCGAATAGCTGAGACTACAGGTGCTCACCACCACGCCCAGATAATTTTTTTGTATTTTTAGTAGAGTTGGGGTTTCACCATGTTGGCCAGGCTCTTCTCAAACTCTTGACCCCAGGTAATCCACGTGCCTCGGCCTCCCAAAATGCTGGGTTACAGGTCTGAGCCACCACTGCCGGCCTTTCCTATTTCTTTCACATTGTTTTTCTCTTATTCTCACCAGACTTTTCTGTTTCATTTCTTCTCCCACGGTATTTGTCTCTCTCCTCTTTCCTGGATCATTTAAGCATTCCATTTTTGTGGAGTTGCTCAGACATCGAGTGTGACTCAAGGGTCACTCAACCTGAGTTCAAATCCAGATCAATCACTTACTAGATTCAGGACAGTTGACTCACCCTCCTGCACCTCAGTTTTCTCATCTATAAAATGGGGAGAACAGTATCTACCTGATACCTTTTCTGAAATGATTAAATGAGTTTATACATGTAAAGCATTTGGAATAAAATTGGGTATATGGTACAGCCCCAGTAGGTAGCTATAATTATTGGGATTTTACCTGTTATGTCCAGTTTCCCTGGCTCTTTCTCACATTTACCTTCCCGCACCATCTGATCCTGTTCACTTGTATATGAATATATTCAAATTCTAATTACCTTGCTTTCAGGCTGTCATCTCTGTGCACTTCTACCTCATATTGCCTAATCATCACTGATAAATTGGCACCAGCCCAGGAAATCTGTCCCTTGGGTTATAGAGAGGAAACAAGTGGTTTTTCATTTTGATTTAATTATTAATCCCTTTTATTATTTAATGTGGAATACATACACTGTGGGGTTACAATGAGGAAAATGGATTATCACTGTGCGGCTCACTTTCAAAGAGATGGTAGGCTTAAAAAGGAAAAGTACCAGACAGACAGAAACAAATGTGGGGAAAAGGCAAAATTAATTAATTTGATTTCCGTGCCCTTTTCATGGCCATGATTTTTCATACATCGTCTGTGGGATCCAGGAGGGTGCATGTGGATTTTGCAAGTAAGCCACAGCTAAGTACTAAAGGGAAGGGGTGTAAGGAGTGGCGAGTGGCCCACAGCGGCTCACCAAGGAGGGCAGAAAACTACTCATCCTAAGCAAATGGGAGGCTGGTAGGTGGGAAGCTCAGTCACAAGCTCACGCGCCTGCTCCATAGGTACAGTGCTCAATCACGGGCTTCATCTGTGATGCTAAGTTACTTGAAAGGCACTCACCTGTCACTAAGCCTTTCAAATCTATATTCCATACCTTGAATCGGGCCTGATATCTGCCCTTTAAAAAACTGCTGAATATATTTAGACTCACTTAGATATGCTGGACAGAGGGATATTTTAAATACCATCAAAATGGTCTTTTTGTCTCTGTATTTTCTCCAAAGAATTGAACTCCTCAAGCAAAATGCCAGATCTGCCTGCTCTCCTTTCAGACTAGAATTCTGCCTCCCTTTAAAAATCCTTACATGAAACACCATTTAATCCTTCTCTCTCTGCCTTTTTGTGTTTATGGTGACCTCTCAGTATTTTGGTTTCTTTAATGACAAAGTAACTGTGGAATCAGTCCACAGCATTTCTAGGGTACGTGTTTCTCTCCAGATATCAGAAAATAATGCATGAGGTTTTATTACTTCCTTAGACTTGTGGTGGGGAATCCTCCAAGGATGGAGTTGGAATAAGCAGCCCATTCTCTCCCGGTTGTCTGGGCTACCCGAGGCTCTGCAGGCCCCAAACTCACTTTCTGTTGCCCCATTTGGCACCAACTGCCCCCCTTTGTTGTGCAGCCAGAAGTCAGGACCGCCTGGCAGACTTATTGCTAAATCTTTCCGTGTTTATATTACACAAAACTCCACAGTAGGTGTTTCTGTGTCTACAATGCCAGAATCCTGGGAACGAGTTAACCCAAATTAGTGTGCCTTCTGGCAAGCCCCACTATCCAACTATAAAAGGGGACTAATGTGATAGGATTCTCATGAGCCAACACCGGAGCTGGAAGAGCCCAACAGAGACGCAAACTGCCATTATTATTCCATAATAATAACTCCACATACAGGAATACCGGGATTATTTGAGACCTTATATCTGCCCTTAACCTATACCAATCCAATCCAGGGAGGCCAAGTACATTACACCAGTATTTGGTAGGATAGGATTTTTCATGATAAAATGGCAGAGATGTCAGGAACATTAGGATTTCCACAAGTAGTATTTCTATGTCTTATATAGGAAAGAGACCCAGGGTGGTAACCTATAGAGTAACATGTAATGTGGAGCACAGGATGTGGCCAGGAGAGTCAGGGTTATGATTCAGAACCAAGATGGCTGGACTCCAATGGGTGTGCAGTAGGAGCGTGGGAAAGCGTGGGCTCTGAAGTCAGGCCGCTGTCAGTTCAAACCCAGGTTCTGCTGCTTGCGACCCATGTGGTCTCCGACAAGTTCCCTCCCTGCTCTGAATCTCAGTCTCCTGATCTGAATAATGGACATAAAACACTTATTCCACAGTGTTGCTGAGCTGATCAAGTGTGTTAACACACGTAAGGCTCCTAGTCCAGACCAGCGCGCACACACACACACACAGACACACACGTGCACACACACACACAGACACACACGTGCACACACACGCACACACACACAGACACACACACACACGGACACACACGCACACACACACTTCAATTCCAGAGCTGTTCTGCAAAGAAAAACCAAAAGGCAGTCCAAGCTGTGCAGGCAATGAATTGACGACGTGTTTAAAGCAAAAGCAAAAAGAGTGCAAAGGCCACGGAGAATGTGGCACAGACAGGAAAGATGCTCCCTAAAGAGCTTGTCCTGGTCAGGGTGTCTCTGAGCAAAATGAGGGACAACTGAGTGACTCTGGGATCAACCTCAGTCCTGCATCCTTGTCAACACCTTAACTTTGTTCTCAACAATAATCCCACCCATGTGGGGAGCTCCCCTTCGAGGGACAGAGGCAGCCCAGAATGGAGGCACAGGATACGCTGAGAAGGGGAGACCTGGGTGCCAGTGACAGCTCCCCAGGGATGGTCGGTGTGAGCAAGGCCGATGCAGCAGAGCCCCTCACCCTCCTGAGATGCCTCCTCTGCCTTCCCAGCAGCTCCCTTCCACGGAGCCCTTAACAGCTTGGCAATCAGAGAACATCGTGTGCACGGACAGCTCCGCGGGGATGAAGTGTCCCATCTGACACAGACTGTTCTGAGATCCGCGCTGTCCCTGCCTGGCTCTGCGTTTCACTGAAAGCCCCTTGCCCTGATTCCGGCCCTCAGTCCCCGCGCACAGCCACCGGAGACTCTAGCCACTCTGGATAATAGAGGTGGCCTTTCTGGGGCATTCTGCTTGGAGAAGAGGTGAAAGAGCTATGCATGCCTGGAGCCCTGGGAGTCCATGACAGCCAGGAGCATCCTGGGCATAAAAATCAGCACCTGCGGCCTCATCCCACTCATCTCGCACAGCTCTGCAGTCCTTTCCATCCTTTCCGGGATGCCCTCACCGCTGATAATCAGCATCCATTACATCGGCGCCAGGAACCAGCTCAGGAGGCCGCCTGATCCCCTCTCCTGTCTCTCCAGCCCTCCTCTGGAAGGACTCAGAGCGCTTGCAGTCAGAAATCTCTCCCCATTGAGACCATTTTTACTGTTGGTGAACTGGAGGACTATTGCCATTGCCCAAGACGCTGTTCTCTGCAGCAGGTTTGCACGGGGTGCCAGTTAGGGAGGAGAGGGCAGCAAGGAACCCCACACTTTAAGGAACAGGGATGTCATAGCAGCCATCTGCATGGTGGAGGGGGCTGGGGAGCACAGGGCTGTTGGCAAGGAGATAGAGCTAGTTGGGACCACGGGAACCAGACTGATGGGCACTGAGGGGGCAGCCCAGGTGGCCCTCTCTGCTATCATGGGCCTTGCAGATTGAGTTCTCTTCCTGCCGGGCCTCCTGCCTTCATTGTCCTGAGGACTGGCAGGTAATGTTTGTGGCAGATCTGTTAGTGCAAACAGGGAGGCGCTGAGAGGAATCTAGTGGCACTACCACAACTCCTACCACCACTCTCAGCCTAACTCACAAAGCAGCCCAACGTATCCATGGGAGGAAAAGGCTTCTCTGACTCCCTAGGCCAGAAATACAAACCGGCAGCTGACAGACTGAATCTGACTCACACAGAGATCTTCCATGGCTTGCTCACTTTTTCAAAAACTGTCGAATTAGTGGTCAACATGGAAAAAGAGAAATTTCATCTTCAAAAGTTTAATTTCTGGCTTTTCTGGAAAAAGCAAAAGGAGGATCTTGCAGTACTGGCTCCACGGCATGGCAAAGCAATAGTAAACTAGAGGCGAGTCGCGGCTGCCGCTTTAGAACTGCATGTGTGTACAGCTCACCACAGTCCCCACCACCCCCTACCATGTCCCCCAAACCCAGGGGAAGTTTTGGTCACATTTATCATGGGTTTGTATATTTGCTTCTCCTAGAATAAACACAATGCAATATTTTAAATGTTTCTCTACATCAAAATATGAAAATGAGGGTCTAAGACATCCCATTTAAATAGAAATAGGAGAAAGCCTACTAACTGCACGGGACCAAGAAGGATGTAGAGTGTGTCTGTGTCGGAAGAACCCAATCCAGCAACTGTGCTTGCTGACCTCACACAGCCACAGAGGCGGGTGTAGGCGGCAGAGCTCAGCACAAGACCCACAGGTTCTGGTTACTATGACACACACATCCTGCCCAGCGGAGAAATTCCAGAGTGAGGAGGCATTACCCTCACTCCTGGCAGAGGCAGACCTGCCTTAGAAGAAGGAGAATCCAGTAAAGGCGTGTTAAGAATGAAATCAGCGGCTGCTAGTCAGGGCTCTTGTTTCTACTGTGGGCGCCATTGTCCAAGCAGACCTTCAGAGAGCGACGGGGCACTCTTGGTGATGCTGCCAGAACAGCAGGTGCTACCTGGGACGCATGGACACCTTATCTCCTTGGAGCAATCAGGGACCTTTGGGGGCAAGTATTGTGGTTAGAAAAAGTCTAACCACAATAAGAGGAGCAGCTGTTAGATGAATAGGGAGCATGCTGGAGGGGAGCAGGAGGGAGAGGGAGAACACAGCCCTGGTTGGCGGGAAGTGACTCGAGCTGTTGGGCAGCCTGTGCACAGCGGGCCACACAGCAGGAAATCATGAATTCCTTCCCTGGTGCAGATCAGGCTGGTGTGGATCTGGCTCCAGCCAGGGCCAGTTTTCTCAGGGCTTGATCCCCCCGGGGGCTCAGAACAACCTGGTCACACCCAGAGGGCTCAGGAGGAACAGCCTCCCCAGCAGCAGTGGCTGCACTCAGAGCCTTTGGAATCAGACAAAACCTAGTCCACAGCTTAGTAACCGTGGCCTGAAGCAAGCTACTAAATCACTCTGCTTCTGTGACCTGTAAAATGAGGCGACTAAACCAGACTTCATAGATCTGTTTGAGGATTAAATGATACAATGCACGAAAAACACTCAGCACAAAGATGGCACATAACAGGGATTCCGTGCCCGAACTTTTGTTACTGTTTGCTCCCCTGTTCTCATGCCCACAAGGCTCTGCCACCTCATCCTGCTCACCGGGCGCCTTCCTCACCAGGGCCTTCCTGACCCTTCCTCATCCGCCCCAGACACGCCAAATTCAGAACTGCACCTTGGCCTCTCTCTCACTATTGCACTGATTTTTTTTTTTTTTTTTTTTTTTTTGCCTGTGTACTCCCCACCAGACCGGGAACTCCTTTTGGACAGGGAATGCATCAAGGGTCCTCAATCTAATTGCCTGTTGGACTCACCTGGGGCCAGATTCTGGGACTAGGCATCAGCACGTTGTCCAGCTCCCAGCTGATGGCAGCGTGTGTCCAGGGCAGAGAGGTCGTGCTACTCAGGTGTGCACTGAGGACCAGCCGCATCAACATCACTGCAGCTCCTTAGCAAAACCGCGGACTCTGGAAACTCCAGACCTAGAGAATCAGAACCTGCATTTTAGCCAGATCCCCAGGAATGGAAAGCACAGGAACGCCAGCGAAGTGTCCCCAGAGCTCGACATAATTCAAACACCCAGTGGGTGTTGAGTGGGGGTTCACTGATTGACTAATTGACTGAATGAGTGAAGCCCTGTGTCAGTTTCCACTGGGACTTCACACCTACTCCCTCATGTGCTATGAAACAAACAGGCTCAAAAAGTAAACCCGTAAAACATTCAGCAATTCAAAAATAGACACAGACCTAGGTTGATAGAACAAATAGCTGCAAAATGGTGAGGTTTTTAAATGAAATACCTGATGGGATTTTAAAGATTTATTACCACCAGGCTCTGCGCCATTAAACCTCTTCTACTACACGTGAAGATAATTTTGGTTTTAAGATTAGTAATTGTGAAAACCTGGGAAACCAGGACTGGCCCCTGCGAGGATCCTGTCCACCTGTGTGCTTTGGGCACAGCCTCCAGGTGGCTGGGGCCGCTGGAAGGAAGACAGACTCGCTGGCGGGGAGTCCCCGGCACCGCCAAAGGCCCCCCCACGCCCGTTCCCTGGGGACAGGGCCTCTGTCTCCTCTCGGCAAGCTCTTCCTGGCTCTCACCCTCCCAGCCTGCACCCCCCAGCCCCGCCGCCTCCGCCGCCGCGGAGCTGCAGCTGACTAGGGGGCCGAACCCAGGCGGCGAGCATCGCCTTCTCCAGCCCCACTGGGGGCTTCGTCCCCCGCGGAGTGAGGGGTGTCCCCTGTGTCACACTCCGAGGCCAGGCTAGAGGTTGCGGCGCTCAGGGCTCCCGGTTCCCGCCGCGCTCAGGCTCCCCAGTCCCAGCCTCCCTCCCCGTCTCTCCCAGGCTCCCTTCCCCAGTCTCAGCCCCCATCTCCGGTCCCAACCTCCTCTGCTTCTCTCCCAGGATCCGGCCAGGAGATGGACGGGTGGCGGGAGGGGCGCTCTGGCGACCCTGGAAGCGAGAAGCAGGCCTCTGCAGGGCCAGGGATGAAGGTGCAAGGGAAACTCCTGGGACCTGGACCTTAGTCGTGGGAGGGACGAAAGGGAAAGTTCTTAGAAAATTCTTCAGGCTTTGGCTGCTGGGGGGCGGGGCGGGGGGAGGAAAGGCGCACGGGTTCCCGGTCCCACCGGCGCTGCAGCCGAGCGGGGCCTCCAGGCATGCGCTCATCTAGGGCAGCTGAGGCGGAAGCCGGAGAGCCTGCAGCACTAGCTGTGCGACTCCGGGCGAGGTTTTTAAACTCTCTCCTGTTTTCCGCTTTTGTAAACTGAAGATAACGTCTCTCTCCTGGGAGTGGGAGCACGATGCAGACACTCCGTAGGAATTCGGGACTTCTTGATTCTCCTTCCTTATCCTTGAGTTGTTTGAAGCACTCCGGCCCCTCAGCCCCACGCCTTTTCCCAGCCCTGCCCCCTGGTGGAAAATCGTAAGAACTACCTCTCAGGAGGGCTCCCGTAAGCCAGGCACTGTACACACACTTTTCATTTCATCTTCGCAGCAGCTCTTCTTGGTGAGTACTGTTATCCCCATTTTGCAAATAAAGCAACGGAGGCTTAGAGAAGTAACTTTTCCAAATGTGCCTCAGCTCCAGGCAAAATAGGAACCTAGGTCATCTGATGCCAGAGTCAGCCTTCCTCACTGTTTTTGATCCGACTACCCTTTCTGTACCGAATTTTCTATTTCTGCCATAACAGATGACCACAGGCATAATGGCTGGAAACAGCACCCATTTATTAGCTCACAGTTCTGTAGGTCAGAAGTCCAGGCTCGATGCGACTGTGTTCTCTGCTCTGTTCTCACAAGGCCAAAACCAGGGTGTCAGCGAGGCCTGCATTCTCATATGGAACTCAGGGCCCCCTTCAAGCTCCTGTGGTTCTGGCAGAATTCAGGTCTTTGTGGTTGTAGGACTGAAGTCCTCATTTTTTCGCTAGCTCTCAGCTGGGGGCTGCTCTCAGCTCCCAGAGGTCACCCACATTCCTTGCTCTGTGGCCCCCTCTATCTTTAAAACCAGCAGAAGAGAACCTCCCTCTGTCTAATTCCTCTAATAATTCGAATCTCCTACTTCAGAAAAAGCCCAATGCCTTCAAAGGGCTTATGACTGGGTCAAGCTCACCCCCGATGAACTAACTTTCTTCAAATCAGCTCTGCCATATGACATGCCCCAGTCATGGGAGTGAGGATTTCCTGGGGTTCCTCAGGGGGTGTATACAAGGGGGCAGGAATCACCAGGGTGTCTTGGAATTCTGCCTACTTACAAGTGCCTTCCCTGTCACCAGCATGTATTCTGGTGTTACATTCAAGTGTAACACCTTGAACGCTTCCTGCTAACCCTAAAGGGCCTTGAGGGGAGAGGGGCAGCCTATTCACCAACCAGTTTGGAGCATTTTCCTATGAGTACAGTCATATATATTCCCATAGAAGAGTATACAAATATCTCCATATGAGACATAAGCACACCCTCCTCCATTCCTCTTCCTCCAACCTCATCCCATGTTTCAAAGCTCAGGGAATGTACATTTTGATCCAGCATATCTGACAGAGAAAGTAGGAAATTGATAAAGATGTTTGTGATCACAGATAGGGAGACTGAGTCTGAAAAATCACTCCCAGCCCAGTGATCTCTCCAGGAAGCCCTGCTGATCCCCAAGCAAGGCTCTTATCAAGTTGCTGTGGCCCCGACTCCTGACATTCTAGACCACGCCGTGATCTCTCCAGGAAAATCACCAAGTTTTCCTCCCTATGGGTGCATGATGTTTGACCTTCTTAATCCAGAGGTCCATCTAAATGGATGTCAGATTCACTAATGCATCATCTGAAATACAACTTCCTTTGATTTTGCCTCTTTTGAGTCTTTCTCCACTTGTGTTTTCCTATCAAAGGGATTAAACCACTTTGCTGGACTTGAAGCTCTGTCTTTTCCAAAAGCTTTCTTCATGTCTCAGCACAGCTTCCCATTCGCAGACACAGGAGAGGGTGGAAGAAGAGCAGTAACAGGCTTGATGAGGCTTGATAGGATTTGCTCAAGTCAGTGCCTTTCCCTGCGTCCTGCAGAGAGTAGCTAGGATGTTCGGCTTGCCTGGGCCAGCCACGGCGTTCCTCCCTGTCTGTCCTGTACAGACAGTTCTGTAAAAACCCTAGCTTCAAAGAGGAAATGCTTGAATATCAACAATGGGAGGGCTGGCTCTGCGTTTATCTTCTTCACTGCTTTATGTCCAGCTCCTAGCACAGGGGCTCCGCTACAGTAGTTCCTCAATTAATGTGTGCTTAATGAGTGCATAATTAATAGAACGGATCTCAAAAACCTGATTAAAGAATTTCATCTCCATTGTCCCTGAAAATCCTTTTGACTTGATAGGCACACAACACTGGAAGCCAGGGTTTCAAGGATGGGGATTTTAAGAAATCTGAACAGTAGAGGCTCCATGCCAGTCAGCCCAATGCTTGCCCTGCAAATTGCCCACTGGGCCGTTAGCTCCTTGTCTTAGATATTCTCTACCTCTCTTTCTTCATCTTTAAAATGGAATTAATGGGATATTGCATTAAATTTCAATTTGAGGAGAGATTATGAATACGTATGTTTATTTTATTTATATTTATGTTTGTATCATGTATTCCTTCCAAGAATCCCTACAGTTGGCTCCCAGGGCTGGAGGGGCAGAGAATATTATCTGGGATTTATAGCAGAGTAAACTGAGCAAAGAAAGTGAAGTTTGTTTTTCTTTGGACCACAAAGCAGGTTGTTGGACACTGCGTTAGAATCCAAATGTTACCCTGGGTTGAGCAAGGAATGACTTCTGCAGATGATTCCAGTGCACAGGAATGCATCCCAATATCAAATCAAAAGTAAACCACCTTTGCCTATCTGCCGGACGCAAAAAGTTCTCCTATCTGGGCTGAATCTCCTGGAAAACATTTTCCCATTTCTAGTACAGCACAAAGCCTTCGCCTACAAGAATGTATGCAAGTATGTTTAAAAATAAAGAAGGAAACAGTGCAGAAAATCAGCAGCAAGCTGTTTTCCCCAAAGAGCTGAGCACAGGAGGATGTGAGCTCCCATGTGCCCCAGCCGATGACTCATTCCTGTGGGCACTGTGCCTGCCCTGCCCAACCTCAGTGGCTCAGGGAGTCCGCAGCAGCACCCCCATTGGAACCCTGTCTTGGTTCCAGCAGCTGGGGTGTCCAGAATACACGGGGTCTTGGGACAGCAGCATTTTCCACCATCTCTGAGCGTCTGTGATCAGGTTTTCAGGATGAAGTCTCCTACTTAAGGCAGAGCAAATTCCTGCTTGGGATTCTGCAAAGATAGCCCCAAGCATTTTCCTCCTTGTCTCATTTATCTTTGTTAACTGCCACATGAAGGAGCAGGAAGCAGGTGGCCCTATGCAGAGTGGTAAATGGCCAATGGATATGTGGGACAAATAGCCCTTCAGATGACCTTTCGATATGATGTTTTAAAGGTTACTTTAAAATTGCTATAACCACTCAGGCAGCACAGGAAAAGGCCTGCCAGGGTCATCTGACTTCCCGGGACAGCTGGAATCTACCTTGGTTTGCCATTAGGCAGTCGGCTCAGTGGTTGACACACCTTTCTCCAGGTTGTTCCACTGGGGACACCGCTTCCTGGTGTTCTGCCTGGTGGAACCTGCAGCTGCAGTCACCCTCAGAATGGTGGCAGGGGAATTCCTGCAAGGGACTACCCAAACCATCCCCAAATGGGGTCAGTTGAGATTCCAAAGAAGAAAGCACCAGGTTCCAAAGCACTTATGAGGGGAACTTACATGTAGAGCGCTGCAGTGGCCCTCATGACAGACAGCAAGAAAAGAGATGCTCTGTTTAGGTACGTCTGCAGCAAGGGCTCTGGGTTATGGAGTTACTTGGCCTAAAGTTGGGCTAATTCCTACATGTTTAGCAACATGTTTGATCTTTCAGTATTTCAGGTGACAACCTAAACAGGGTTTCAGCGCCAGGGAATGTTTCCAGGGCTCAGGTCTGCAGGAAAAGACATGCAGCTGGCCAGGTGGCAGAGCAGTCTAGGCATTCTGTGTTCCTTGATCAGGACAGATAAGTAAGTGGTGGTTCCTGGGGGATCCTATACCTGGGAAGGAGGGTACCTGCGAATTCAGGGAAAGCTTGCTTATAAAGAGGAAGAAGGGTTGAAGGATAGTATCCCTAAGGTGACGTTTCCCAGGGCTGGAAGCTCATAGAACTTTCTGGAGGGAGCAGGTCGTCAGCCTTAGCATGAGCCATGGAGCATCAGTGTCTGCTGGCCATTGTGTGGTGAGTGCTATGGGTCAGGCCTCGGGCTGCAGCCAGATAAACTTAGACCCAGAACCTCACTTGGCCACATGCTACATGAGCTTCATTCTTCTCTTCTGAAAAATGGGGGGATAATAATAGTATTTATCTAACCATGTTGTGAGGATTAAATCAGCTAATGGATAGAAATGTCCTAGTGCAGTGCCTGGCTTCTGAGTGCTCAGAAATGTAGTCTGTTATTGTTGATTAAAGAGGTCTTTCCTAATTGCATGAGCGTCTTAAAGCATGTCAGACGGGTTTTGAGGGAAATATCCGACACCTGTACTGCAGGCGTCTGGGTATCTCTTGGGGGTGTGGCAGGTACCCCCCAAACATGTTATGCCCTTTGAAGAGCCTTGGGGCCATTAACATCCTGTCCATTTCAATTTCTTAGAGGACAGGGAATCAAATTTTCTAATGGCGGGCCTACACAGCAATTTGTCATTTTAGTAAGTGCTCAGATGGCCTCAGACTTCACACTCAGATGGTAGGAGTGACCAGTCGACAAATCAGACACGTGCCGCCTCTTCCTTTCTGTCTGCTGCTAAAAGGCCTCAAGATAAATGGAGACAGTAAGGAATGAAAGAAACAGCACAGGCTTGGGCCAGATGAGCAGGAATCCAAATATCAGCTCTGCCTGATATTTGGTGGCCTGGGGGTCACTTAACCTCTTTGGAACCCTGTTTTCTTATTTATCCATCCAATTATTCAATAAGTACTTTTTGAATACATCTATGTGCCAGGCTATGTTCTAAGTGCTTGGAATATCACAGAACAAAACGAACACACACTTATGCCCCTGTGGAGCTTACCTTCTGATGGTGGGAGAGAGACGATTTGAATTAAGCCTGATTCATAAGCAAACAATATGTTGTTTATATAGTGGAAATTCCAATATCTAATGCCAGTGAGTTGCTGTGGTGATAATAAGCGACAATCCACATGGAATGCATGGGACATAGTACATTTAATAAACTGTTGTGATTATTCTTTTTAAAATTGCTCCCACATTTCTCAAACCCTTTTAACACTTAATGTGTACTTTGCACCTAGGTGTTGTTCATGTATTCATTCAACAGACAGCTATCGAGCATCTATTATGTGCTAGACTCTGTACTAGGCACCAGGGATACAAAAGAACCCTGTAAGAGAGTGAGGCCCCTGCCCTTGACGATTTTACACCCCGACCCCTGGATCCAGAGGAGAAGCCTGGGAGAGCCCCGGGGCGGGGGTGGCCTTTGATCTTGTGTTCTAGTGAATCAGAACAGCCCACTTCCCTGATGATGTCTTTTTTAACTCAAAGCATCCCAGCTATGGCTGGTGATTCTAGGAATGCCATGAACCAGGACATGGAGATTGGAGTCACTCCATGGGACCCCAAGAGGATTCCCAAACAGGCCCGCGAATACGTCCCCATTGCCACAGACCGCACGCGCCTGCTGGCTGAGGGCAAGAAGCCGCGCCAGCGCTACATGGAGAAGAGCGGCAAGTGCAACGTGCACCACGGCAACGTCCAGGAGACCTACCGGTACCTGAGTGACCTCTTCACCACCCTGGTGGACCTCAAGTGGCGTTTCAACCTGCTCGTCTTCACCATGGTTTACACCGTCACCTGGCTGTTCTTCGGCTTCATTTGGTGGCTCATTGCTTACATCCGGGGTGACCTGGACCATGTTGGTGACCAAGAGTGGATCCCTTGTGTTGAAAACCTCAGTGGCTTCGTGTCCGCTTTCCTGTTCTCCATTGAGACCGAAACAACCATTGGGTATGGCTTCCGAGTCATCACAGAGAAGTGTCCGGAGGGGATTATACTCCTCTTGGTTCAGGCCATCCTGGGCTCCATCGTCAATGCCTTCATGGTGGGGTGCATGTTTGTCAAGATCAGCCAGCCCAAGAAGAGAGCTGAGACTCTCATGTTTTCCAACAACGCGGTCATCTCCATGCGGGACGAGAAGCTGTGCCTCATGTTCCGGGTGGGTGACCTCCGCAACTCCCACATCGTAGAGGCCTCCATCCGAGCCAAGCTCATCAAGTCCCGGCAGACCAAAGAGGGGGAGTTCATCCCCCTGAACCAGACCGACATCAACGTGGGCTTCGACACGGGCGACGACCGCCTCTTCCTGGTGTCTCCTCTGATCATCTCCCACGAGATCAACGAGAAGAGCCCTTTCTGGGAGATGTCGCAGGCTCAGCTGCATCAGGAGGAGTTCGAAGTCGTGGTCATTCTAGAAGGGATGGTGGAAGCCACAGGTAAGGCACTTTGTCCTCCTTAGCCACAGATGGCCCTACTTACACTTCAGACTTAGACCACTGTGACCCAAGAAGATGCAGGTCTGTGCCTGAGAGTCCTGGGGTGGCACAGGCAACACGTTCAATCCCTAAATTGTGGTTTGAGTGGTACTGCTACTCAAGATGGAGTAATAGCAACAGCTAACACTGACAGGAGCTTCCCAACTTTCAGGCACTGTCCTAAACCATAAACATCTATCATTCGGCCAAATGTCCTCGCATGCCTTATAAGATAGTGGGGTTTTTTGTGATGTTGTTGTTGTTGTTGTTTTGTTTGCTTGCTTGTTTGTTTTTGAGATAGGGTCTTGCTCTGTCACCCAGGCTACAGTGCAGTGGCCCGATCTTGGCTCACTGCAACCTCCACCTCCCGATTCAAGCGATTCTCCTGCCTCAGCCTCTGGAGTAGCTGGGATTACAGGTGCCCGCCACCGTGCCCAGCTAATTTTTGTATTTTTAGTACAGACAGGGTTTCACCATGTTGGCCAGGCTGGTGCTGAACTCCTGACCTTGTGATCCACCTGTCTTGGCCTCCCAAAGTGCTGGGATTACACGTGTGAGCCACAGTGCCCAGCTGAGATAGTTTTTATTAAGGTACAAATAAAGAAACAGGGACACAGACAGGCTAAATTATTTGCCCAAGAGCAAGCACTTTTGCGTGATAGAGCCAGGGTGGAAATTGAGGCAGGGGACCCCAGAGCCAGCACTTGTTTCCAACAGGCCAAACTGCCCCTTCTTGGAACAAGTGTTCTACCCAGAAGAGCTTGCTGCTCAGATAGCTCTGGTAATCACAGGGCGAAACAAAGACGAACTGGTTTCTTTACCGTGGACTAGTGGACTTCTCGCTCTCCTTACCCACTGAGTCTCATCACTGGGAAAGGAGAGGATGCAGAATTTCCTAAACTCAAAAGGGTTCTCACCAATCCTTTACTTGGAAAGAACTTTGCTGCAGGGGAGGGGCTCTTTTGGCTGGGCCCCCTCTGGAGCAGCCAGCCCTCAGCGTTGTTGCAGAAGTTTGGCTTAGTGAACCCAGGGCAGGCAAGGCTCCTTTCTCACAAAAAAAAACCACCAGTGCATCCATACTGAGGCATCAACATCCACATATGCCCAAGAAAATGCCCTTTTTGTGGCCAGCATGGCACCTCCCTGCTCAGCTACTGACTCACCGGCAGCTGGTAACCAAGGACCCCCCCATTCCTCAGCCACTCAGCCACGGCAGACCTCTGTGAGGTGGCTCCAGGGATCCCAAGGCCTGGGACCGCCTGAGCTCTGGCTGAGAATCCTAGTCCCCACCCCACCCCCAGCAAAATCCGACATCCTGCGTATTTCGTTTCTTCCTCGTGCCTTCCTTTCTCTCTCTCTCTCTCTCTCTCTCTCTCTCTCTCTCTCTCTCTCCCCCTTTCTTTCCAACCAGGTACGATGAGCAGCTGGTCAGGCCCTAAGGATGGCTTCTAGAAACTCAATCACACTCAGAATTATGCATGTCTATTTTTCTAATTCTTGCAAACAACAGTGTAGAGCTGGCTTCAGTCTCATTTTACAGATGTCGAAGCTGAAGCTCAAAAGCATTATGTAGACAGTGAGTGCGCATATTCAGCTCTTCCACTTACAAATCTGGAGCTTCTCTCACCACTCTGCCCCCCTGAAATACTAGGGGCCTGTCAGAAAGATGGCCAAGCACGCCTTCCAGACCCCGGGAAGCTGGCTGCCGGGCAGGAGACTCAGACCCAGACTCCACAAGCCTTCCCATTTTGAAGTCGGTGGAACCAGGAGAGGGCAATGACAGGCTCCAGGGACTGGTGCCACAGAGGGCTGCTCGGCCATCTGCTGGGGGCTGGAGCCTGGCAGGCAGCATATGGTGGCAGGTGGGCAGCCCCCGGGGCCAAGGACAGTCAGGACGCAGGAAGCTTTCCCCTGCAGAGCTAGGGGCTTGCAGGTCACCCTGTCCTTGGCTCTAGGGTCAGAATCAGGACCCAGGCTGCATTTCAGGGGAAGAGCTCCACTCTGGAGTCACAAAAAGGATTGGGTGAGAGACATGGGGACAAATCATAGCATGCCTGACCACTCCCCAAGGCCGCCCTCACTCGCCAGCCACACAGCGGGGAGAGCGCCCACAGGCTCATAGTGGAGGGAACCAGTGCTATCCGCCCTGCTACACCCCCAGCCATGCCTCCCTCGAAGTCAGGGGCCCACCGTTCACTTGTCCTCACGGTTTGTCCTCCTTCCCCTCCTACAACCTGGGCTATGCTTGCTCTGTCCCAGAAACTGTAGGGGAGATCCAGGGAGATAGGGCAGGAGACCCCGGCCCACATCTGTCCTGGATGTGGGTGGCTTGGTTGTCAGGCACATGCAGCCAGGTGTGGGCTGGGAATCCATGCCTCGGCTTGAGTAGCACAACTCTGCTGTATCCTGCCTGAGCGGGTCTGAGCCAGCTGCTTACCCTGTCAGCAGAGTGAGGAAAATCGATCTCCTAGGGCTGTTGGGAGGATTCGAGATGAAAAGGAGCACCCTGTGCTGAGCACTATACCTGACACCTGGAGAATCCTTTCCAAAGGCATCGAGCAGTGACAGGGACACAGCAGGATCTCTAGCTACAGGGCAGCTGCTACCACACCCCATGAGCAGCAGGAGGCGCCCAAAGGGGAAAGGTCCTGCCCACACCTTTCCCAAGGCCCTGGGAGCCTGCAGACATCTGGCATAGTCTAGGCTGCTCAGGGCCCAGTTCGGGCCTCTGTGCCAAGGCTGTGGGGACAACAAGGGTGAGGACTGAAGGGAGAGGCCCGGCCCAGGCAGGCATCCCTGAGAGCAGAGGGCAGGCTGTGGGCCCACCTGTGTGGGTGCGCTGGGGCTGAGAAGCAGCCTTGGACCTGGGTCTGGTTTGTATGAGCCCCTCCCAGAGAAAACTCAAAGTGGGAGCCGGAGATGGTTGCCTTCAGCACCCAACCAGCACAGTTAATGCCTTCCTTGGCCAGAAGATTAAATATCAGAAAGTTGCTTTCCTGTGACCCTAAGCACAGAGGCCTCCTCATTCATAAACAAAGCTGCTCTCCTCTCTGGAGAGAAAGCAACACCTAAAAATAGCACAGGCATGGCACGGGCTCAGTAGATGGGAAGCGAGGCATTGGAGCAGCCTCAAATCAAGAAGTCAAGCTCTGTGTGTGCGTCTGCTCCTCTTCCTGTGTGTATGTGAGTGTGGAGCCCTCTCTCCATATGTGTCTACCCAAAACAATCCCCATATGTTCCAAATGCCTGTCAGCTTCTCCATGTTCATTCACGCTGAATTTATCTTTGCTCTCTCCTGCCTTTTTCCCATCTCAATCTTCTAGACCTGAATGCTGTTTTCAGGAACCAAGTCCCTGCCTTCAACTGTTCCAACATCTATTCACTCCAATCTCTAGGAAATGACTTTCAGAATCTTGCATGTTGGTTTCTAATTTTCTGCCACCACCATGCCTTGAACTCCTCCAGGGCAAGGACGTGTCGTATTCAGCTTTACATCTCCACTGTGCTTAGCACAAAGCAGATGTTCATGAAATGGTTGATGAATGATTGAATGGATGAAGGAATGCATGAATGTATGGATGACTGGGTGGATGGATGATTGGATGGATGGGTGATTGGGTAGATGAGTGGATGGATGGATGGATGGGTGATAGGATAGATGGATAGATAATTGGAAGGATAGATGAATAAATAATTGGGTGGATAGATGGATGATGAATGATTGGATGGATGGATGGATGATTGGGTGGATGGACGGATGGATGATTGGATGGATGGATGGATGGATGGATGGATAGATGATTGGATGGATGGATGGATGGATGGATGGATGGATGGATGGATAGATGATTGGATGGATGGATGGATTGATGGATGGATGGATGGATGGATGGATGGATGGATGGATGGATGGATGGATAGATAGATGATTGGATGGATGGATAGATGGATGGATGGATGGATGGATGGATGGATGGATGGATGGATGGATGGATGGATGGATAGATGATTGGATGGATGGATGGATGGATGGATGGATGGATGGATGGATGGATGGATGGATGGATGGATGGATGAATAGATGGATGGATGATTGCATCATAATGCATGTAACTTCTGTTTTCCCAGGCATGACCTGCCAAGCCCGGAGCTCCTACATGGATACAGAGGTGCTCTGGGGCCACCGATTCACACCAGTCCTCACTTTGGAAAAGGGCTTTTATGAGGTGGACTACAACACCTTCCACGACACCTATGAGACCAACACACCCAGCTGCTGTGCCAAGGAGCTGGCAGAAATGAAGCGGGAAGGCCGGCTCCTCCAGTACCTCCCCAGCCCCCCGCTGCTGGGGGGCTGTGCTGAGGCAGGGCTGGATGCAGAGGCTGAGCAGAATGAAGACGATGAGCCCAAGAGGCTAGGTGGGTCCAGGGAGGCCAGGGGCTCGGTGTGAGGGCTGCAGCCTCCCTAAGACCTCCTGTCACTGGCTTCAGTGAGCACAGGCACTGCAGAGCCTGGGACCAGGGGAGGGGAATAGTTGAGTGTGCTGTTTGGGGGCTCAGAAGCCATCAAGGCTGTGAGGAGGAACCATATACCCAGCCCCCACAGCTCCCAGCACAGGGCCTCCCTGAGCCAGTGGCATCCTTCCTGGGCCCCCCATGGCAGTGCTGCCTCTTGTGGGTGCTGGCTAAGGGCCAGGCCAGGATGAGTTTCCCCATGGTGAATGTTACAAGGTGGCATCTGTTCTCTCCCTGCCCTGGGTCACTTCCTTTTTTGGGTCTCACAGACCCTCCAGAGGCTGACATCTAGAGAGAGCCATCACCTTGTCCTCTCATTCCTTCCACCATGAGGCTTGCCGTGGATTCAGAGAGGAGCTTTACCTGATGGGAGCTCAAACCTCTAGTCTGGGATGAGCTCACAGAGCCCTCATGGGTTAAGGTCCATCCGTGTCACATAGGCAATTCCTTTTAAATCAGATACTGATGACCCATTACTGACAGCTACAGAGCATACAGCCCGTGGTGTTCTCCGCTACTATCTGCCAAGTGTGTGCTTTTCCTCTGCTGTGTTCTGTGTGTCCAATGTAACCTACTGGAGAATCGATCTCATTAGAGTGACTCTTAGAAGGTGGCCTGGGACTAGACAGCCCCTCTGAGCACAAGCATAGTGGCATCAACAGCTTCCTGGCCTACTCCCAATCACACTGTGCCCTGCACCTCCCACCAAGGGGAACCCCAGCAGCTGGGGCTTTTCTAGTGCTTTTTGGCCCAAGAATCTCAGAGTGCTTCTAATGATTACAGTAGTTTTTTTGTTTTGTTTTGTTTTTTTCACAATCTCAGTGAGCCTGTGGTGTGACCTGGGGAGAAAGCTGAGTGTCAGGGGGCATGATGAGCCAGTTGGCCCTGAAACAGGAATGGGGCAAAGAGAAAGGAGAGCCAGGAGCATTTAAAAATCAGCATCTGGGCAGAGTGCGATGGCTTACACCTGCAATCCCAGCACTTTGGGAGGGCAAGTCAGGCAGATCATGAGGTCAGGAGATCGAGACCATCCCAGCTAACACAGTGAAACCCCGTCTCTACTAAAAAAATATAAAAAATTAGCCGGGCGTGGTGGCAGGCGCCTGTAGTCCCAGCTACTTAGGAGGCTGAGGCAGGAGAATGGTGTGAACCTGGGAGGCGGAGCTTGCAGTGAGCCGAGATTGTGCCACTGCACTCCAACCTGGGCGACAGACTCCATCAAAAAAAAAAAAAAAAAAATCAGCATCTGCCCCAATTGTGGCTGAGACACTCTGCCACAGGGCTCAGCACCTTTGCCATCAAGGCAGATGACGGGATGTGAATCAAAAGTGAGAGGTGACTGCAGTGGCAGCTTCACCATCAAGCTCAGCCTGGACCAAGCTCCCAGCCCGGTGCTGCAAAGCCCCTGGGCCTCCCTCTGCAGGCAGAGCTACAACCAGAGGGGCTGGGCAGGGAGGGCAGGGAGGATACCCTCGGAAGGCGAAGGGAGTGGCTGCCCCTCCCAGGCTGGAAACAACAGGGCAAGGGGGTCAGCAGGAGAATTCAGGGACACGGTGAGTGTTAAGAGAAAAGAGTAGAGAAGAGCCTGAAAATCAGCAACCTCCAGGGCTTTCTGCTCTGGAGGCCCAGTAAGAGCAAGGGTGGCGGGGGGCAGATTGTCAGGTCCCGGAATGCGTGTTGACACACACAGGCTTCAGGTTAGCTGGCCTGACATGGGGAGAGTGCCAATGTTCCCAGGCCACAGAATTACGGAGGCCTCACCCAGTTTTCACAGCTCTCAACTGGCCTTTGAGAATGGAAGCCTTTTCCTGCCCTGGTTATGGCACTTCTTCCGGGGAGAGGAGCAGAGCCACAGAGAGGTAGGAAGTTGAGGCAGAGCAAAGGGAAGACTTCAGAGCTCAGGCCCGGTTCATCTCAGATGCGTTTTCTAGGCCTGGGGCTGGAAGGGAGTGGGCCAGCCTGGGACGGGAACTGCCTCTGTGGTCTGCGCACTGCCAGGAGGGGCTCCCAAAGCTTTGCTCCTGGGCTGGATCTTGAGAGGTGCGCAGGGTGCCATGGCCAAATGAGGTCTTCCCACCAGTGGCAGGGCGTGGAGTTGTGGTCCCAGGCATCCGTCTTGGGGAAGCAGGCCTTGGAGGGAATGGGGAATGGGCTGGCACCCCACTTAGGGGAAGCAGACGGTGCCCCAGCAGGGGAGCTGCATGCCCCCAGGAGTCTCAGACAGGCAGCTCTTCACCAAGGCTGGGTGCCTTTTGGCGAAGCTACGGCTGGAACCCTCTGGCTGAGGCCAGCACTCCCCCGGGGCTCCCTGGACCCCAGGGTTACTAACAGCAAAACCATTCCACACCCCCTTGCTGGATCTAAGCCTGTCTTAGGACCAGTCAGTGCCCCCAGGTTAGAGCCCATTGGGGGTCAACTAAGCAAGGGAGGGGAGGTGAAGGCGAAGCCGGCCTTGCACCCAGACAGCGGCCTGGCTCCTCCCCACACCTGCCTTCATTTATGACTGAAACATCACCCAGCTGACCAAGGGAGCCACTCTCCAGTTCTCTCATTCCACCAGGGCCCTCCGTGAGCCAGGACCAGGTCACATCTCTCAGCCAAGTCTAGAAGCTCTGGGTAGAGGAGAGGAAGTGTGCAGAGGGTCCTTAGCCAAAACTCCCTGCCTGGCCCGAGCCTGGGCATAGTGGGATTAGTGCAACACTGCCCCGGTGTGCCTCCTCTGCCTTCTACCATGCCAATTTAAAAGCAAGAAGACCCCCTTCACATCCCGAGGAAATCTCCTTCCTGGTGACCAGTCGAAGCAATGAAAGTTTGAAAAGTTCTTCATTTTCTAGAAGTTCTTGAATAAACATGGACTTACTAAATGCAGAGTCTGATGATGGACAGAGTTTCAAGGGGTCACTTTCAAAATATTTAATTAATTTATTTATGTAGAGATAGGGTCTTGCTCTGTTGCCGAGGCTGGAGTGCAGTGGTACAACCTCAGCTCACTGCAAATTCTGCCACCTCCCTGGATCAAGCGATTCTCATGCTTCAACCTCCCGAGTAAGTGGGATTCAGGCATGAGCCACCGCGCCCAGCCATTTTCAAAACATTGCTCCCTCATACGAACCACTCAGAGGCCACAGCCCTTGGTTCTGTGAAGGCTCTGAGCCCATGCCATCACATCTGATGGACCCCAGAGGGCTGACCCCGCTTTAAGATGGGGTCGTGCACTGGTCATTGCCACAGTCTAGAGTATCTCCAAAATCCCAAAGTGATAGATATTTCACTTTCGGATGCTGAAAGTTTGGAGAGCTGGTTTCTTGCCTTAACTGAAGCTCTCTGAGAATGTCCCCTGTAGGGAGAAGCCTCCAGGAACTCAGAAGAGAACCGTTCCCACTTTTTTCCTTGCTCCACCAATCTGATGCCTGACAGATGTCACCACTGCCTAAAGGATCCTGTCCCCAGGCCAGGGCAGAATGAGCATTGCCCGTGACTCTCCCCTTCAGACATCCCTCCCACCGGCCTCCTGTGTAGTCAGAGAGCCCACCGCCCATCGCCTCCTGCTTCTGCTTTGAGGTTGAGGTCCTGGCCTGAGCAGTTACCTTGCTGGAGGAGAAGAGCCCCTGCCGTCTGGGGAGCACTGTCCCTGCTCGTGATCTATAACAGTGGGGCGTCTTTTTCACGCCCCTTATCTCATGGCTTGCCTTCCAGCCCCCATCGATCCTATGCCTCATGTGAGGTGAACCCCAGAGAAACTTAAATTGCTTGTACTGAAGTTGCCAAAAACCAAAGTTGCCCACTGTCTTTGAACTGAAACACCTCTGCCCGTGCATCATGGAGCACGTGTTAGGTGCCCGCCGTGGGTCAGGCACTTGATTCTCAAAACACTGCCAAGAAGCTCTTACCAACGTGACAGTTGAGGCTCAGAGAGGTTCATGAGCTTGCTTAAGGCTACGGGTAGTAATAAGAGGCATGGCCTTGGTGCCAAGCGCCTCCCAAACAAACAGCAGGGGCCGTGATCCTGCCTAAACTCTCGCATCCACGGCACCTCTCTGGACCCAGGCAACAGAGATAAGGAGAGCCCTGGCTCTTGGGATGGCGTCGTGCCGATTCACCTGCTGTGCCGCAGAGCCCCGGCTTTCACCCAGGATGTGCCCCTGTGGCAGGATAATTGAGAAACAACCTTTTTCTGATTCCCAGAGAACTAACGAGCTGCAAAAAGAGATTAGACAGGGAAGAATTGCTTTCGGGGAGAAGCCACTTACTCGGCTCGCCTTGGTTTTTGCTAACAACGTCTCCTTAAACTGCTGTCAAATCTTTTTCTCCCTGTGTAGGATTCATCAATCTTCATATGAAAAAGAACACCACTGCACTGCTAAAAATTCACACAATAAAATGGACTTGACCTTGCAGAACTCTTTCTCATTTTAAACAGACGGCCACTAGTTGCCCATGTAAACTCATTGCCAGTTGTAGAAACCTTGTCCTTCTTGGTTTTGTTAGCCTAAAAATGTAGTATCAACATCTGGACCACTGGTTTTGAGGTGGGAGAATGGGCAAAGGTGGGGAGGAGACAGCCGGATAGGGGCAGCTGCACCAGGTGTCTGGAGGCAGAGCTGGCGGCAGATGCGGAGGGTGCGGGCAGCAAGGGTTCTCACACTAAGTCATTCATGCCACCCCCAAATAACTTCTGTACATTCTTTAATGTCAAATATTCAGAACCCACATTACCTATGTAATGAGTAATTCTAAAAATACCTACTTTAGGGGCCCCTTGGACTAGCATTCTGCTGTCAGGGCATACATCTGCAAAAGGATCGTTCTCGCTGAACAGTGGGAAAGGGGCAGAGGAGGCTGTGATTTCTAATGTTGGCAAAAGGTCTCAGGATCTTTCAAGAGAAGTCCCAAAGCTTCTGTTGAAAATGTCATTAGCAGAAGAGGATGTAAGATTCGCTTCTCTTCTGCTCTGGTCACCCAGTGGCAATATTGAAGAGCCGAGATTTACAGAAAATCCCTCACGTACACCAACACCAATGCTCACCAGGGCTCTGATTCAAAATGAGAAGCAGTATTTTCAGAGGAGAAAGGCAGCACAGCTCTGATGTGCATGGGAGCACTTCCCATATCTGGTCCCATGGCCCCGCCACGGTAGCCGGGCATCAGCAAATCTGTGTGGGGCTTGGGCCAAAAGCATGTGCTGAGCCTCAAAATCAGCCATGAACAAAAGTACCTGGTGACTCTGAGGGTGAATTGCCTTTACGCTGGGAAAGACCCATGCAAAGGCCAGGAGCTCTGGGAATGGCCCTTGCCTG